CCAGTAGCCGGAATTACAGGAGTGCGCTACCACGCCCGACTGATTTTTTGATTTATGGTAGAGATGAGGTCTCGCTGCCCAGGCGGGTCTCGAACCCGCGGGCTCAGGCAATCTACTCACCTCAGCCTCCCAAAGGCGCGGGATTACAGGCTGAGCCACTGAGCCCGGCTGCCTAATGCTTTTAATAGCATTATAAGATGGCAACTGCTTTTTAAAATTTTTATTATAAAATAAAACCGTGTTGGTTTAGAGTGCTCACTACTGGATATTGGCTCCTTTCATTCTATTCATAAAAACAAAGACCTTTTATGACTGATTTTCTGTGTTATAATTACATCCTTATGAGAAAGATGAACAAACTGCCTCACACATTCATTGTTCTTTTTTACATGGACACGATGAAACCTGGACATACTGAAATAAGAATGTCTGTTACTTACAGACTGGTCTTCATTAATGGGATCCTGGACACTCCCACTGCACTGGGGAACCCACGGAGGGTCAAACATGGGGACGGATGGCATTCCAAGCACTGGCGAGGGCAAGGTGAAGTTTATACTGGGAGGTGGGATCTGTTAGTTGGTATCAGAAAAATAAGGTGAGCATGATGGAATATAAGCTAGAATGAGTCTAAAGTATGATTATGACACAATCTGTCTTTGTAAGTATGAAGAATCTTTGTCACAGAATGAGCAGGCATTACAGAAAAGTGCTGTTTCCCAAAAATTTCTGTCATAGAGCATGGGATGAATCTCTCTGAGCCTCGGTTTACCAATCAATTAAATGAAGACTTTCAACCATTTGAAAGTCTTTTTTGTGTTTAATTACCCCATCCTCTGAAAAAATCCGTATGTTATATAAAGCAAAATGTCTGGAAGATAATACCCCAAACTTTAAATGTGCTTATCTCTGGGATGATAAATTTTAAGGTTCACAGAGCCTTGATTGTCTTACTCTACATTCTTCTATATTTTAGTTTTTTAACAACAAGAATTCATGCAAGCGTGAGTTAGGTTTACTTATATAATCAGAGAGAAAAAAGAAGTATTATCTTTGGATATATATTGTGGCATTGTTCATAAGCCTAGGGTTGAGTTTGCCAGCTTCATTCCCACATGGGAAGTACTCCTCACCTTAAAAATCTGCTGAGCTCCCTCCTCCATCCGTGGCCAGACCTGATACCGAAACCTCCAGAGCGTGTGGAACTTGAGGACAGCATTCAGCCTCTGCACGGTCTCTGGGTGGTGGAACTCTGACATCAGCATGTCAGACACAGCGTCGGGGACCTTCACCGCACAGAGTAGGAACATGGCAGCTAGAGACAGTCAACAATTCGTCAGCTACATGTTTGAGAATTTCGCTCCATTCCTAGGGTTGGGGAAAAGTGGGAACTGCTCCTGTCTCTGAAAATGACTTCTGAGTTCACGGAGCAAGGCTACCAGCATGGGTGAAGTATATCTTGCTTCAGTCACTGGAAACCAAGCATCATTCTTTGTGCCACCCACAGTCTTACACTAGCTGGTACGAGGGCAGCAACGGCGTGACATTTCAATGGCATAACTCCCTCCTTTTAAGCAAAGCTTCCTGTGACTCACAGTGAAAAATGAATGCCAGAGGAAGCAAATGAAAAAGGAAAGTTACATCTCGAAATAATGCTTTCGAGGAAGTGGCTACAGTCATCTCATAGTTAACCAAAGATGGTACATAAAGATACTCATTAAAAACCACCTCAGGGGGTAACCCCTTCAGGTCCCCTCCCACTGTGGGAGCCTTTCTGTCCTCTCAATAAATCCTGCTTTCTCAAAACAAACAAACAAACAAAAATAACACCTCAGTTATATTAGCTGTATTAAAAAACAAAAGCCATACCGTAGTCTTCCACCCTTCCCAGAGGTAGAAGAGACTGAGAAAAGAGATTTCATGACTCTTAATACCATTTAAAAAATAACTGGGGAAAAAGCCCAATATCAATAAGAGAAAAGTCAGGTGCCATGATAAGTTATAAACATATGCTATAACATAGAAGAGGAACCAGTGGTTATTTATAAAAACGTAATCTAGAATCTCTTTGGTATTCCTTCCCAGAACCTCAAAATAGGCTTAGGCAGTTAGGCTAGAAAAACTGGGGTTGAGTCTCAGCTCTGATATTTCTCTGTCATGTGATGTGGCCCCTTCACTTAGCTTCCATCTTTCCTCACAGGTAAACTGTCAATACTTATCATGATGACAAAGATGATAATAATAGCACCTGATTTCAAATGTTATGAGATGATAAAAATACCTGCCTCCAAATGTGTTGTTAGAATAAAATAAAATAATATATGAGAAAGTGCTGTGTGAAGTAAAAACTGCTACACACTTCTGAAGTGTGTTTTATTTTTTAGAGGCCACATGTGTTGTGGGAAGAGCATCCTCATGTACACGGAGACGATCTGGGTTAGGCTTCCTGGCTCACTAAGTCATGTGAATTTGGATAAGTCCTTTCAAACCTCGACTTGAGTTTGCTCATCTACAGAATGGTTTATCAAACACGCATGTTTATTGCAGCATTTATTTACAACAGCAAAAACATGGAACCAACTGGATTAAAAAGTGTGGTACATATTCATGATGGAATATTATGCAGCCATAAATAAGGACAACATTATGAACTTTGCAGCAACTTGGATGGACTATAATACTGAGTCTATAATACTGAGTGACCTATCACAGAAACAACTGAGTATCACATGCTCTCACTCATAAGTGGACCTTGAGCAACAATCATAATACTATAAGAAAGAGATTGGCAGTAGTTGGAAACTGCCAAGGGAGGTGGGGGGTGAGATTGGCAGGAGTGGGAAAAATGCCAGGGGAGGCATTTTTCCCTCATCAACAAGGGTACCTGCGTAAAGAACATTTGTATACCTAACCCTGTATTGTACCGCACATCTTAAAAATAAAAAACTTTAAAAAAAAAATTGACTTCATATATTAAAAAAAAGAAATGAAAATGTGTGTGATATAGTTCTTTAATGAGTGCTAATTTTTGTGATCATTGGCTTTTGACAATCCTTTCTCCAGTCTACCAGCTGCTTAAATAGCCACTCTTTCTCTTTTTTAAAAAATGTAGTCATCTCTGTTTGATGTTCGAACATCGTGCTCACTGAGTCATTGCAGAGTTCCACCTTAATCTCTCCACAAAACAACTTTCTTGCAATGCTCACTAATCCTCAGATCCAGTGGTATTTTGACAGCACTAACTTCTCTTCAGCTTTTAACACCTTCAAAACAGACTAGTTGAAGAACTATCGATTCTCCTTTGCTTCTATGGCTTGCTTATTTGAGTTCTACTTTTCTAATCGCATTTTCTGGCAAGGCTTCTTCCTCTGGTCCTCTGGCTCAGTGGTCATTCCTCAGCTCTCTCTTCTCTATCGATTCTTCCTCAAAGATCTCACCCACTCTCATTGCTTCAGCTGCCACACACAGCTACTTGCTCCCCGGGTTTACCTCTAGCTTTGGTCTTTCTCCTTAGCTTCAGTGTCATATCACCAACTATATACCACCAGCTCCCCTTTATCTAGAAATAACGATTTATTTTTACATTTTTATTGATACATGTGATATTTTGTTACATGCCTAGAATATAATGGTCAAGTCAGAGTATTTAGGACATCTATCACCTCAAGTACTTATTAATTCTATGTGTTGGCAATATTTCAAGTTCTCATTTCTAGTTATTTTGAATTATACAATACATTGTTGTTAGCTATAATCACTTTACTCTGCTGTTGAACATGAGAACTTATTCCTTCTATCTAACTGTATGCTTGTACCTATTAGCCAAACTCTCTTCATACCAACAGCCCACCTCCTCAAAAAAAAAATCACTATTTCTTTCTTTCTTTTTTTTTTTAAGAGTCAAAGTCGCACTCTGTCACCCAGGCTGGAGTGCAATGGTGCAATCAGCTCACTACAGACTCTCACTCCTGGGCTCAAGCGAACCTCCCGCCTAAACCTTCCAAGTAGTTGGGACCAAAGGTGTGTGCCACTATGCCCACTAAAATCATGACTTCTTTTTTTTTTTGAGTTGGAGTCTCACTCTGTCGTCCAGACTGGAGTGCAGTGGCTGCTCCCAGCCACCGCAGCCTCGACCTGCTGGACTCTGGCGATTCTTCCACCTCAGCCTTCCGAGTAGCTGGAATTACAGGCATGCACTACCACGCCTGGCTGATTTTTTGATTTTATTGTAGAAATGAGGTAGCGCTGCCCAGGTGGGTCTCGAACCCACGGGCGCAGGCAATCCACTCACCTCAGCCTCCCAAAGGCGTAGGATTACAGGCTGAGCCACCAAGTCCGGCAAAATCATGACTTCTAAAACCAAACTGTTCCTATTTATTGCTGCCACATCAAGCCTGGTAATGATTCACACTCTGTATACAACATTTCTCTGTGGCTTAGAACCCTTGAGTGGTTTTTCCACCATACAGCAGAAAGTCCCCACTCATAAGCCTGCCATTCGAGGCCTGTTCCAATCTGAGTGTACCTCTCACTTTCCAATATTATGCACTGGTGACCCTCTACAAAAGTCACTCCGTCATCAATTCAGTCTCCTCAAAGTTTCCTGATAAGTTCAGAGCATTTCCACAACCATGTGGTTTTACACACATCATTTTGCCCGCATGGCTAGCTTCTAGCTGTTCTTAAAGCCAGGTTCACCTATTTATATTTTTCATGAAAGCTTCCATGACCGTCCCATATTTGGGAAGCTTACACTTCCCTAAGCTCTCGTGGCTCTCTCTGAGAAGCATGTGGCAGAGAAACAGAAATATGAGCTAACGAAATATGATATTTGCGGCAGTGAGGTATAAAAGAACAAAAAGCTGGAATCAACCTAAAATTTTATTAATAGGTCTTAGCTAAATAAATTATAGCATGTCCATTCATTCAATGGGATATTTTGTACCATTAAAAAGAGAGAGGCAAAACCATAAGCTGATATTAGAAGATGGTTTCCTAAATATAAATTAAAAATGCAAAGTGTAAAAGTCTTTATAGCATGTCCCATTTGTATGAAAAAAGAAACATGCGATAGATTCATACATATTTGCATGCATATACATGCACAGTGTACCCTAGAAGGATTCCTGAGAGACCTAAAAATTGTTGCCTCTGGGGAAGGGTATGAAGGGTCATGGGGAAAAGGGTGACACTTTAAATTTCACATACTTTTGTACCACTTGAAATTTCACTTTGTGCGTTTTTCAGTTAAAATAACTATAGAAAAACAAAATGATCTGTACAAAAAGTGAGAAAAAAATGAAGAACATCAGGGTCTCACACCTGCCACTGACCAGGGCCTTGGAAAAGTCACTTTAATTTTAACAAATTGGTTTTGGTATTGCAAATTGCACAAAAAACATTACTCAAGATTAAAGTTAATAATGGTGGTTCATGATAAATCTAAAAGACAATACATAAAAATAATTTTTTCTTTTGTGAAATGTAGTGAAAATGTAGGTTCTGGGGAGGAATCATTCTATATAAAACTGGCTGACCACATGTAGACGAAGATTAAAACAAGACCCCTACCTATCACCATACACAAAAATCAACTCCAAATGGATCAAAGACCAAAACGTAAAACGTCACACTATAAAAACCTTAGAAAATGCAGGCGACACCCCTATGGAAATTGGAACTGGCAACCAATTCCTGATTAAAAACCTAAGTGCACATGCCCTAGGAGACAAGATAGACAAGTGGGGCCTCATCAAGCTGACAAGTTTCTACAAAGCCAAAGAAATCATCTCTACATAAATCAAAAAATCAGCCGGGCGTGGTAGCGCATGCCTGTAATTCCGGCTACTGGAAGGCGA